ATAAAACTCAAAAATGGCAAAGTATTTTCCATCTCCAACAGAGAAAGATAAGTTTTGCTTATTATTGTACCATCATAAACCAAATTGTATTAACTATAATAAATTTCTCAAATAAATTAAAAGATGTTCCAGTCAGATTATAAAAAGCTGTCCTTAGGATCACACTGGTATTAAGGCCAAAAAGGTCAAAAAACAAAACAAAACGCTTACAAATCTAAACATATTGGCTTCAAAAAGGAGCACGTGAATAATGCTCCAATAAAGGGCGTGTGTGTGCGCGCGTGCAACATGCATCCATGTGTTGGGGGATGAAGGCAGCACACCTGTCTTTTGTCACAGGAATCTATTTCCCTTTAAAAAGTAAATAAAAAGCCATTTTTTTCTTATGGAAAACTGATGCACTTTGCAAGTGCACTGATGTTAGCTCCAGGACAGTGGCAAGTGAGTGGGTAATAAACAGAAATATAATGTGTACAAAACCTTAAAAAGCCAAATTAACTTATTTTCACTTTATATACCCAAACCCATTTAAGAAAAGGTGCACATACCAAACACACTAGCAAATGAGATTAGCAAAGACACCTATTTCTATTAATTATGTTATATCCTTGGGAGTACAGCTTTTACTACAAAACATGTAAACCGGATAGTTAAGAAAAAGGAATCACCTTCTGCCTCATTGAATGTGCATGCATTTTGAATATATATTCTACCCAAGGGGTAGTTAAAGCTTCAAAAGTACAGAATGAATGTAGAATAAATGACCTAGGATACAAGTTATCATTTCCATTATTACTTTACAGAGCTGGTGACACCTCCTGGGTAAGGAAAAAAAGAATAACTGATTATAAATATCCTATCCTTCTCATCACTATTAATTCAAAGGGCTAGCTTACAACTGCAAAATCTTTCTTCCTAAAGAACAATTACTTCAACTTGATAAAATCTGTTTGTTACAGAGATTGAGTACTGTCAACAGTGACCCAGAAAAAAAAAAAAAACTAAAATTATAATAAACTATACAGCAAAACTCCTCTCAATACCAAAAAATAGCCATATAATTTTTTAATCAAAGCTTTGGTAGACAAGCTAGATTTTCCCCTACAAAAAAATTTTGAAGCGTAAGAAAACCGAGGCTACGATAAGATACTTTCAATACTGAATGCATAATGAAAATAAACATCAATATGGAAAAACGTTAACTAGTAAAGCAAATTTTAATTTGAAATATTTTCTGCCCACATTTTAAGGGAGAGGGTAAGAAAATTGAGGTCAGAAAAATCTATTACCAACCCTCTTAGAAGACCATGAGAAAATGAACAGGCATTTTTCAAATCAGCAAAACAGAAGGTAATTGAACATGTTTGCTCACTTTTTCTGAGCCACACACTAATTTTTCAAACATTCACAAAAGATTTAGGCTAGCTTTACTTATAAACCATACCATGCATTTTTAATTTTCCCATCAGCAGCTTTTACCTTCCTCTGCCTAAAAAATGAAAACTCAACATCTGATCTTAAAATCCCTAGTTCATCCTCTTCCCCCATGGGGTTTTTTTTTTTTTAGTCTGATTTCATTTGTAGCCTTCTCAATTCTAATTGCAATACTCTATAAAAACAGAATTTGCATTCATTTTCATGACAAAGAAAGTTTTTTGTTTTTTTTTTTTTTTTTAATAAAAAAACTTCTTTTAGTGACTACTCTTTCCCAAGGATGGTCCCAGGATTCGGTTTGGAAACTTCTCTCCAGAAAGCAGTTTAAGGCTTTAAGACCTCAGTTTCATGTGTAATCATCTTTATCTTCAACAAAAGATTCTTAAGCATTGGAATCAACTGAAATTACGTCCTTTATTTGAGTGGGCCAATCTAGACCTCATTCATAACTTAAAAGAATAACTGTGAAGATACTTAAAGATACTTAAGAGGAAAGTCTGACAATCCCTACCTCCCCCCTCCCAAAAAAATAAATCCAAAAACCAAAAGCAGTGTCCATAGTGAAAATATAGGCTAAAGGTTAACTTGGCATGGAAATAAAATGTTCAATCTAAAACATTTAAGTTTTAATCAACTAAAAAAATCTAACACACACGTAACTCCCAAATTTGTAACTAGCCAAACAAAAATTCTCAGACAAATTCTTTAAAGCTTACTCTAAAAATAAAATTGAAATAGAATTCCTAAATAATCATTCAAAATTTCTCATTATCAGAAAATACACCTATTTTAAGTCCAGTGTCTTGATTATCAACGTAAAACATGTAACTTTACCTAAAACATGTAACTTTATCTAAATCGAAAAAATTTTTCCGCCAATCGTATGGAAAAGGAAAACGTAATTCCTAACCACAAACAGAAGTCCTGATTAATTTGTTTTGGACAATGACAGGTCACAAAGGGGTAAAGCAAGTTGCCAAATTTTCAGAATTAAATCATCTGGCCAAAAAAAAAAAACGTGATACATTTCAAAAATCAGTACTTTTCTGAAGTCAAATTAAGTTTATAATAAGGCTAACAATTAGAGGAAGCAGCTTATTCCACACTAAGGAATAGCCCCTCTTCCTGCATGTTTGTACTGGTCTGATAAAAAAAAAAACAATCAAACTTCCTAGTCATTATGCTGTCCATTTTAAACATCCCAGCTACGACACAAGCAATCTTTACTTACCCTGGGGAGGAAAGGCTAAAATTCTAGATAGACCAAGATAAGAGATGGAGTAAACCACATTAAAAGAAAAAAAAAAAAATTACTTAGAATGTATCATCCTCAGCTAGTGGTCTCCCAAGTTTTAAAAGGCAAATGGTTACTATTTCCAACCACAGAGAAATGAACAAACCTTTGTTAGAGATAATGACCTAAGTGGAATTCTAGATTTGGAAGATTACGAATTATTGAAGGCAACGTTAGAAACTTTTTAACAGAGAACAACTCCAAATTATCACTTAAAGATTTTAGATCAACATAAAAGCACAGGTGAGAAGTCTTTCAGAACTAATCAGAGAAATTCAAATTATGTTTTTAAATAAGATACACATAAAGTGAAAATACCTTCAATTTTTTTCATAAACTCCTATGTCATTTGATTGAACTCAGCATTTTAATTAAAAGACTAATGCAACTTTAATTAATTCTAAATATTGTGAGGACACATTTCATTTTAATGTCAATGAAATATTCCTTCTAAACTGTACTAAATAAAGAACATTTAACAAATACACCTATTTGTATTAAAATCTTAAAATTTCCAAAATATACCAAGGCAGAAAAGACATATGATTTTTGAAATGCAATAAAATTGTTCCCATAATTTTACATAATGTGTTCTGAGTTTATAACTATATATTATAAATACAGTAAGTGTATTATGAACACGAAATGACACGCAAAATGATCTACTGTGATTCAGATTTTAAGTATAATATAGATCAAATTATTGAGTATATTACACATTTTGCTCCAAACATTTCTCATGTTTAAAAAAAAAATAACTGGCGCCCCTTAGCGCTCACATTTGGAAATACTCAATTTAATAGTTCCAGCAATTTTTTTTTTTTTTGACATTCCAGAAAGTTTTCTGCCTCCACAATCTTTCAAATGCCAACACAAATAGAAAAAGCAGAACCCCTTAAAGGGACAGCTCGATTTTTTTTCTGGAGCAATATAAAATTAACAGATTTGCTGTTTCAACAAGGGAAAAAAGCCCATTCCGATGAGGATTACCGCTGTTGGGTCTAACATACGTAAGCAATAGCTAGGACGCTGTAAGACCTAACAGTCTCGAACTTTGAAAGTTGTTTCTAGGACTTTCTTGACAACAAATGATCCCGGGATTCTCCTTTAACCATCTTTAACCCCCAAGACATTTCCGGTCTTTTGTTCTTTAGCGACATTCCAACTCTCTAAGCTTCAGACTCCTTTTCTCTAGTTCTATAAAGATCTCGAAATTCCTATGAAAAATCTAAAATCCACGGCTCAATTCTATAAAACAGTTTATCAGTCTTCCAGGGATGCTTCTGAGACAGGAAAACAAAACAAAAAAAAACAAAACAAAAAAACCTCCTGAGTACTCGATCTTCAAATTAGACTTTCTTGTTGGTCGTCTTGTCTTCTCCAGGCTTCCACAGAAAAGCAGAGCTGCTACAATTCAGCAGTCCAGGGCACTGCTCTAAGTAAGAACTTGTTAGAGACATCCCAGGGTCGGCCAACATTAATCTTGTCGTTCTTCGCAACCCTCCGCTCTCCGCCAACAAAGCTTTTCTGCAAACTTTGCCCCTTCTCCCCTCCGTCCTTCCGAACGTCGATCCTGGGTTCGCTCTCCGCCGAAGTTCTCTCGAGTCGGGACGACGTTTAGACTCGTCCTCGCGGTATTTCGTACTCACCCCCCCCCCCCGCCCAAAGTGAAGTTAAACTCCCCAACAGTGCTCGCTTCCCCAAACAAAAGGACGGAAAGTGCTTTCGGCTGTCATCCTGCCCCGGCCTCCGGCTCGGTCCCCACTACTTTCGGGCTCCTCGCGCACATTCCCTCCAGTGGCCCGGCCCCACGCCGCTCCCCTCGAGTACTCGCAAGCCGCACCAACTCCCCGGCAGCCGCGGCCCCCACAGGGCCCTCCGCTGTGGGAACGCGCGCGGCCTCCGGGGGAGCCCCCCGGGGAGCGCCCCGGGGCCGGTGTCCTTCAGGCGCCCGCGGGCCGGGCGCGGCCGGCTCCTCCGGGGCTCCTCCGGGGCTCCTCCGCGGCTCCTCCCGGCCAGGCCCGCCACGCTCCGGGCCGTCGCGGTGCTCGCAGGCGCGGCGGGAAGCCAGGGGCGCGAGGGGGCTCGCCCCGCAGCCTCCCCGGGGCGCCGAGGCCGGCGGCGCGAGGCCCCGGGGTCGCGGGCCTGGGGGGGGGAGGGGCGGGGGGAGCGTCCCGCCGGCGGGTCCCGCCCGAGCCCGCGGCCCCGGCCCGCCCGCCGCCCGCCGCCGCCCGCCGCCGCGCCCCGCGAGCCCGGCCTCGGCGCCGCCTCCATGCGCCCCGCCCGGGCCTCTGGGTCCCCGGGCGCACGGTCCCCGCCAGCCGCGACCTTCCCGCCCTCCCAACACGCCGGCGGGCGTCGGGTCCCGGGAAGATGGGCCGCCGCCGGGGCGCGGGGCCGCGAGGGGCCGCCGAGGCGACTCACCTTCGTCCAGCAGCCGCTCGAGGTGGTTGAAGATCCCGCAGAAGTTGGGCAGGCTGCTCATGAGCTTCTTGTCGTTCATCAGCTGCATCAGGTAATCTGGGGTGGGCTTCGGCTTCTCCTTCGTTTCCATTTCCCCGACCATATTCCAGGCTCCGCAGCTCACTCCGCCCGCCGCCGCCGCCGCCGCCGCCGCCGCCGCCGAGGAGGGAGGGAGGGAGGGAGGGAGGGGCGGGGAGCCCCGGCCGCCGGCCGCCGGCCGCTCGGGACTCGGCGTCCCGCTCCGCTCCGCTCCGCTCCGCTCCCGCGCCGGGCGCCGGGGCGGCCGGACCGCGCGCTCGCCGCGCTCTCCCCGCCCCCGCAGGCACTTTCCGCCCGCGGCCCGACGCGCTCCCGGCCCGCCGCCGCCGCCGCCGCCGCCGCCGCCGCCGCTCCTCGGCCGCCGGCTCGGCGCGTCCCTCACGAGGCCGGCGGGCGGGAGGCGGGTCTCCGCGGGCCGAGTGCGGGCGCGGGCCGCTCGGCGCCGGACGAGGAGGAGCCGGGCCGCCGCCGCCGCCGCCGCCGCCGCCGCCGCCGCTCGCTCGGCTGGTCGCGCCCGCTCAGCCGCCGCCGCCGCTTCTGCCGCGGGCTCGGGGTCTCTCTGGGCTGGTCCCCGCCGCGGCCGCCTCTGCCGCTGCCGCCGCGCTCTGACTCCGCTCCTCCTCTTCCTCCTCCTCCTCGCCGCCTCCTCCTCCTCCTCCTCACTCACTTGGCGGCGGAGTTCGCCTCAGTTCAGGCGGCGCTGCCAGCGGCGGCGGCGGCGGCGCGGGGGGAGGGGCGGCGGCGCGGGGAGGGCCGGGGGCGGGCGGCGGGCGGGGCCGCGCAGGGCGGCCGTTAGCGGGGCCCGGCCGGCGCGCTCCTCCTCCCGCCGCCGACCCCGGCCCGGGCCCCGCCGCCGCCGCCGCCGCCGCCGCCGCCGCCGCCGCGCCGCCTCCCTCCGGCGGGTGGTCGGCCTGAGAGGGGCCCGGGGCTGGGGTCGCCGGCGCGGCGGGCGGAGGGAGGGGCGGCGGCGGGGCCGGCGGGCGGCGGGGGGGCGGCGGGGGGGCGGCGGTGCTTTCGACTGGGGGCGGGGTGAGGGCCGCGCCGCTCCGCGCTCCCCGCCGCCGGGCCGGCTCGTCTGGCGGGCGCGGCCGGGCTGCGGCGGTGGGTGAGAGGGCTCGCCGGCGGGACGCTCGCCGCCGCACGCCTCATTCTCTCCTCCGTTACTATAGTTTTTTGTTGTTGTTTAAAGACAAAAAAAGAAAAACTGTCGTCCGTTCTCACACCCTCGCCCCCCCCCCCCCCAAGAAAAGAATTTTTTTTAACGTCCTGTTGCTTCACGGGGGACTTTCGGGGTGGGCGTCACGTGCCCCGACACGTAGCCGTAAGGCCCGAGAGCGCGTGCGCGCGTCGAGCCCGGTGGCCACGCCCCCTCCGGGGTCGCCCCGCCCCTGCCGGGGCCCCGCGAGCGGAGGGGGAGGGGCGGGGCCTGCGCGCGCCTGCGTGGGGCGGGCCGGGGCCGGGTGGGGGCTGGCGCGGGGGCGCGCCGTGGGGGCGGGGGTGGGGCGGCCGGCGCTCGGACCCCAAGCGGCTGGGCGGGGGCGGGAAGCTGCGGCGTCCCCGCTCCCTCGCGTCGGCTTCTTCTCCGCAGCTCGCGCGTCCCGGGTGGGCCCTCCTTGCCGCGGCGACGTCGTTGGTGGCTCCGCACGACGACCCCCGCCCCCTCCCCGCGTCCCCGCGGTCTCCTCCGGCTCCGAGCGCCACGCTGCGCGACAGCCTGGCGAGCGCTGGGTCCCGCGTGGGCGCCCCTCGTCGCCCCGACGGCGCCGCCACCTGCGCGGTTACCTGTCCCGGGGGCGGGACGCGCTGGGGAGCGCGGCTGCCGCGGCGCAGCCTCCGTTACTCCGGGAGCCCGCTGCAGGCAGCACCGAGCTTCGCGCCGCCCGAGACGCGGAGGGGCCGTGAGCGGTGCGGGCGAGGCTGCGCTCCGTCCCTGAGGGCGCCAGCCTCCGGTTAGGAAGTGCAGCCGCGGTAACCGCGTAAAGATCACGTACCTAGTGGGGCAGGTGGGAGTCAACATGCACATCTGCCCACGTGTAGACCCAAGGATACGGTGGGCAGGAGGGCTCTCCGTGCGGCGCGACGGAGTCAGACATTTAGGTTTGCTTGGGAAAGGCCTCGGAACTGGTCGGTAGAAACGCCAGTCTCCGAACCCGCCTCTGCATTTTTCTGCAAGCCCGTTGTGACGAGCTCGGTTACCGTAGACGAAACCTACCGCCAGCTGACCGCGGTGAGAGCTACAAGTGGCTGAAATCGGCTAATCCTGTCCTCTGTGTTTTACCTGGGAAGAACTTAGGTGGGGGTGTTTGTTGTTGTTGAAATTTGGCCTCGTAGAAATTCTGGGGAACACTTAAGTTTGAGTTGTATTGAAACTAGCTGAATTTCAAGCAAATACTCTCTTGAGAGTACCAAGTAGCTTCTGTCCTGTTCACTTAAGAAACATTGTTTCTAAAATTAAGCTACTTTGGTAGAGGAGATAGAAATGCCCTGCAAAGTTAAACACATTTAACTCTAAAATATTTTAAGTTCTCCTACTTACGTTGTTATTAACAGAAACATGAGACTATTCACCTACTCAGTTATCAGTTTAAAGGATGAATTTTGTAAATGCAGCAAACGGTATTTTGGTTTAAAAAAAGTTGTCTCTTCAAAAAACATTTTTAAAAACGTTGCCTTTTTAACAATTGACGTATGCAACAACTTGGGTTAGTAGCAAAATAATAGGTATTTTAAAGGGTGACTAAGCTATTCAATGTAATTTGCTAGTGATAAAAGATTTCATCCCCCTTCTTAATCAGTATACTTACTTATTAAGCTCCCAGGCCCTGTGTTAAATCCTTAACATGTATATCTCATTTACTCTTCAAGGCAACCTAGTAATTTAGGTATGCTATTATCCCTATTTTATATAAGGGAAAACCCAGGCAGAAGGAGGTTAAGTAACTTTCCCAAGCCTATAGCTCATGCATCCTGGATCTGGGATTCAGTTCCACTTACATTTTTTTTTTTTTCCTGAAGCTTATGTTCTTCACCCTTTTACTAACCCTGTGCAATAAGTCAGGATGAAACTTTTGACGATCGATGTTCCATCATTTTTGATGGATAGAAATTGCAGTTTCATATGGCTCCCCTGGTTCTTATAATCTAGGTAAACCAGGTCAGAGTTAAAGAACAATAATCAATATTCATGTCCCATGTATTAAATCTCGTGTGGTAACAGCGTTTGATAGTAGCTACTATATATTGCCTTTTCAAGTATACATAGATCACTTCTCTGCTCACAGTTCTTCCATGTGTCCCCTCTCATGAAAAACCCAAAGACCTTACCAAGGCCTTCAAGACCCCCATATGCTCTGGACCCTGCTGCCTGGCTGACCTGGTTTCTAATCTTCCCCTAGCACACTGGGCTCTCCCCCTGGAATCCCTTCCCATCCTAAAACAGGCCCAGCATGCTTTCTACTCCAGGACTTTGCATTTAGTATCTCCTTTCCTTGCAGAGCATTCCCCACACATCTATGAGCCTGCCTCCCATGCTTTCTCAGGTCTTATCAGAGAAGATTCCCCTTACCACCCTGTATAACACATGCATGGACATAGACGCGCACACACACACACACACACACACCCCCTCTGTATTCTATCTGCTTACTCCCTTCCCTCTGCTTTTAATTCTTTTCATAGCATTTATTTCTACCTCTCATGTTCTATCTATGGGTAGATTTGCCTCTCACCTCCCCTCTACGCTGTAAACTCCACAGGAACAAAGGCTCTACTTTGTTCTATTTGGAATTCCCAACACCTGGAATAGCACGTTTCATGTAGCTACTCATTAAAAATATATTCAAAAAAAACATTAGGTACTGTACAAACCCCTTACTCATATTCTTTTAATCCTTTACAGCAAACATTTTAGATAGGTGTGAATAGCCAGACTTCAGAGGAGAGGTGGCTGATGCTTCAGAGTAGTAAATAGTTGATCCCATACAGGCAGAACCAGGTCCATGCAGGGTGATGCCTCTGGAGACAACTGTGCTATCCATCCACCACATCCCTTCCTGTCTCTCTCACACTCCTGCCTCAGGCATTTTAGGTACATATCACCCCCATTAATTACCTAATATATAACAAGTACATGAGGAATACAAAATTGTTGGGATACGTCACTTGCCTTGAGGAAGCTTAAGAATTTGTAAGCTGCTATGGAAAGATTCTTTAATCACATGATTACAAAAATATCCTTACAATAGTCACAAGTTACGAGGTACCCACGGGCGAGCTTCATCTTGAAGGTCTTTACAATAAATAGCTTTTTCACTGTGAAAAATTATGTCATCTAATATATGGACACTAAAAGTGTTTCCACATCTAATATCAGTAATTAACCATGAGTGGAAATACACCTTCTGTCTCTAAAATGTGATTGGCTCTATTTGCTTATTGCTATTCTTGACATTTAAAATGGAAAACTTGAATATTCCAACATTTTTTTTCTTCCATCACCTTGGAGTTCTTGCAGAAACTAAAATGTTCTTCGGACTTAAGAATCCCAATCTTTGATGGCCCTGTGTCCCAAATATGTTTCTGTTTGTGTTTGTGTTTTTTAAATCTTTAATCCTTAAATCTTTCTACAAGAGAATGGGGCTTTTCTATAATCTTTTGTTTGTTTATTGTCTTAATTATGTTTGTTTATTATCTTAGATTTCTCAAGTGCCCTTTTCAATTGTGAGATGTCTTATCAACTACTATTTAAAAGGTTGAAAATGACACATTTTAAGTGTGAATATTTTAATCGACAAATACTTGAGTACGTGTAATATCTAAATACCTGTTATTACCCCTAAGGCTAAGCCGGGAGTTAGTTTCCCAAACCGATGAAAAGTTAACTAATAAAAGCAAGTGCTGAAGACAAAATGCTACAGGAATGGAAATAAGCACTAGAACCCCAGGCCTGGACATTGAAGTGATGCTGCCCTGGGAGGTGGGGGGTACTGGTAAAAACCTGGAAAGTGTCAGGCTGCAGGGTAGGAATTTCCAGAAAGAGTAGTAGCTGTCAGCTTTGTGTTGGCCTCAAATGTCAAGCTAAAGTGTTCACGGAGAAGAGCCTTGGGAGTTTTTTTAATACAAGCAAATGAA